TTAGGAAATAGTATGTTAGCCACATGCTAAATGCTAACCGGAGATGAAGGATTTTCAGAATAAAAGCTTAACAACTGGTTGTGCACGAGAATTTCTGTTTTTTTCAGTATAAAACAGCATTTAAACTGACGGTATGTTTAAGCTACATTATACCATCAAAATATTGATTTTAATTTCTAACACATGTTAGCACTTTCGCTTCCCTTGTCTCAAAGTCAACAGTTGTTTTTGGTTAGATTAATTAAGATTTGCAAATTTAAGAGATTTGACGCTTTACAGAAATGCGTTGTTTAATACCCAACTCGTAATTGTCCGAAACTTCATGTGTCCTAAAAAAAAAGGGGTTGGAAACAAGTGGCTAATGGCTAATAAATTAGACTTTAGCAGCCCTTAGCTTAGCAGTGGTGAGGCACAGCCATGTTTCCATGATGTAGTTGGTTTATCGGCTAACGTTAGCTTCTAGCATTTCTCTTGCGTTGCTAACTTCCGTTGGGCCTACAAAAATACATCCTCACTGCACCACTATGTGTGTAGTTATTTGATAGGTTGATTTTCTAGTGGATTAAAGGTCAGAAAATAAAGACATTGCCAATCTAACTTTTCAAATGAGTTGTCTCCCAACAGCGTAGGCCTACTTGTCTGAACGTGTTTCCTGATGGGCGATAACAAAGTTTATCTTACCTTAAAATCTCAATAACTTTCAGTTCATAAGGGTATGGAGACATGACAGAAATAAATAAACATCCTCATAGTGGAAGCAACCAAAGGTTTTGTAGCAATCCCATTTTTTTCTCGTTCATTTATGCTTTAATCAGATAATTAATTCCATAATCTTTTTCTAAAGTTTAGATACAATTAATGTCTGATGATGTTTTTGAGAAACGATTAAGTTACATTAGAACATGTGTGAACAGATGGAGGTACCACCGTTTTTATGGTTGTTAGTTCCTTTATATCGTGATGTATTTACTATGTATAAGAGGCCTGTTTAATTATAACGCTCATGACAGAAGCTGGCTCCACAGTTTCACTTCATCAGCAGATATGAAATGTTTAGTTCTGGTGGATTGTAAAACTAAAAGTTATTACTATATTTGTCTTTAGCTGGAATGTGGGAGAAGCCACCATCACTTAGCTATATATAAAAGGTACATTACTAGTGTATCTCCATGTGCTACTTTCATTACATTTGCCTTACAGCTACAGTTATTGGACATAGATGTTCTTTAAAAGGTTATAGCTATGATACATTGTTATAAATGCTCTACTTTACTGTTACCTATTATTTATATAGCTCAAACTTGAAGAGTGACAGCATTCAAATACTATTTAAAACTTTATGCATCAATTACGTTATACAATACAAATACAGGGCCATTTTGTATAATGACTACTTTACTATTGATATTTTCCATTTTTGCGTTACAGAACATTTTGAAAACAAGATTTAAGTGTTTTACCTAAGGATAGTGATTACATTATTTATTCCAATGCTAGCTGGTTTCAACCACTTTTGACTTTTTTTAAATATACTTTTATATTTCTCTAAAATTAACAGAAACAAAGTTTAATGTGGAGATTTATTTTTTATGAATTGTTTTATTTGTATCTTATTTTTTGTTGAATTCGGCCTTTAACTGATAAACACCAGTGGACAGAAACAGTTTTATTTATTTTAAATCTGGAAAAAAAAATGAATTTGAGAGGAATTAGAGTCGAAAAATGAATTTACTAATCAACCCTTTTCATCTTTATGACATCTAAAACGTAAATAAGGAGACATTACTTTACACACACACACACACACACACACACACACACACACACACACACACACACACACACACACACACACACACACACACACACACACACACACCTCAGTTGGCATCTTGTCACAGCATGCAAACATGGACGAAGCAGAAGGTGTACAAGTGCATATCTTTACTAAATGCAAGACCTCATTTTTGGGGCGGTGAAGACCTTGGAGGGATTCTGAGTGAGTGTGTGTGTGTGTGTGTGTGTGTGTGTGTGTGTGTGTGTGTGTGTGTGTGTGTGTGTGTGTGTGTGTGTGTGTGTGTGTGTGTGTGTGGTGCCTCCGGTGGCTGACTTCACAGGGGGAGAGGCTGCACACTGTCCACTCCTCTGTCCACACACACTCGGAATAATCACGTTCTCTGTCGGGCCCTATAAATCTGTAAGGGCCAATTAAAGATTGCCTTTAGCATGTCCACCCCTACCAGCACACACACGTGTTAGAAAGAGAGACACACAAGAAAAACAAGAACACGGATCGCTTTCATGAATATATATTTGACACAACATACAGGAGTGTAAGACAAGTAGAAAAATAATAACAGTGTACAAACTCGTAAAAAAAGCGTTGCAAAAAAACATAATTTTTTTGTATAAACTCATACATTTGTGCAGCTTGTGTGCCTGGAACCTGGACTTAAAGGTGCTACGTGAATATAAAAAGGCAGTATAACAGAGAAAAACTATACAATTAAAACATCATAAAATTATGAATTACATTATTTGCAACTGAAATAATGTAGCAGAAATAGTGCATGCAACATTTTATGAAAATGAGCCAAAGATAAATCAACAATTGTGACAATCTACTTTTTCGATTTGATAATAAAAGTTGGCTGAAGCGAATCAATTGTTTTGAATTAAATTCTACATTTTTAAAAACTTTTTTTCACTGAAGTGCAGAAATACAATAATACTTTTTTTCTCTTAATTAAATATCAAAAAGGCACACAGAAATTCAAAAAATCTTCAACAATAGGTGGTAAAATGAATATTATGCATAGCATGATGAGTGGAGGGGACACGGGGGGGGGGGGCTTGTGACGTGTTATTACTCGTGTTGTGAGTGTTATGTAAATATCTCATTAGTTCGGGTTAATAACATTCCTGTGCTCTTGGTTGTAACATAAAAAAAGATCCGAGTACTAAAATCTCCTCGTCCGGCAACCGTCCAGCAAGAGGCTGATGAGCCTATTAAATGTCAGCCCACAAAATTATGCAAGAGGTTAAAAGCGTTTAAGTCGGACATAAATACCAGCACACCCCGAGGAATTTGATTTGGAATTATTTATGTCCCTGCGATCGGGACGGAGAGGAAACAAAGGAATAATTAGAGTGGCGTGGAGCACGCCCTCATGCCCGCCGAGTGTGAGACCCATTCCCCCTCAAACTTGATGGTTGTTGAACTTATTTTTAGTGTCATTTGATAAGCTTCCCTGCTTGCACAGAGACATCCCACTGACCCAGCCACTGGTCATTGTCTATACCGCTTCCCGTCAAAGCCGGCGCGCTTTGTCAGGTTTCGACTCGAATATCCATTTTTCATCTGAGGTACGGTATCCGAAGTGACTGGATCATTCGAGCCTTTTTCTTCAGCTGCTGCCCCCTTTCCTCCCCCACAGTGTTTCCGCTCACACTAACATCATTTGGGATTGGCGTCATGACAGCACGCTTGACAAATCCACAATATATATAAGTATATATATCCTGCTTTTTGGGGTGAGGGGTGGAGGGGGGGCGGAGGGGGGACATAATTTCTGGAAATGAACAATACTTATCCGTCCGTCGCATCCGTTACTTTGGGTTTGCGTTTTGGACGTGGCGCAGCGTCACCGTGGCGCAGTGTCCTCTTTTTTCCTGAGAAGAACGCAGTTATAGGTCATTCAATGTCAAAAGGCATAAAAAAGAGACAGCCAAGTCTTCACAGGCTGCTGCTTGCTGTTGCCTTTAATTATTTTAATTAAACTTTGATATTCTGGTGCCAAGGGAACTACTGGGTTGTGACGCGTCCGGGAAGCCCCTCGGAGGATTGAGGCGGTGGGCAGAGGAGGGTCCGGGCAGCTGTATCTATATCTCTGAAGTCTTAACTGATAGGCCGGTTTATGGGCAGTGATGTGCTACGCCTTACTGAGCAGAGAGCAGACTGCACTGAAAACAGGGGCAAAAAACACCAAGCGCCATGTCAAGGTCTTCAAGGCATCAATCCCTCAAACCTAGCTGGAGATCGCCTGGTCAGGAGGCTGTCCTGCGGTCGAATAACGCTCTATTAATTTTCTTGTCCCGAGTGCATAATGAAAGGAAGGTGTCTTAACAAAACAAAAAAACGAGAAACTACAGGGCAAAGTCTTGGTGCCGTCCA